GTCTTGTAGGAGTTGTAAGGAGTGGAGTTGGAGGAGTGGAGTCTGTAACCGATGCCATCATTATGCTTTGCAACAATAAGGTTGTGAAGGTCTTGAGAGAGCTCTTTACTTTTACCCATCATCAGATGGTTCTTGTGTGATACCTGGCCATCATTTGGGACTGAACCAGCTGATATTAATTTGCACTGAAAAGGGGCAGGCTTGCTTTCTAATTACTGAGAGAGTTCAGCTGGTGTCTTGGCTTTCCATGCCTTTTTACACCTCCCTTTCTTCACGTGTTCAATACGTTTTCCCTGTGCCATTCCACATTATTACAAATAATTTAATTTCTGGAAATGTATCGTTTAATTTCTTTGTATGTATGGATCAGTTGGGTTGTTACCGACATCTGGTGAAAATTTCATGTCATTAGCACCTCTAGTAATTTATTTACTGAGAAAAATGGTGACGTGTTCAATACTTCTTTCACCTGCTATATGTCGCAAGTTATGCAGGAGCGTGCYATTGGCATGTTGGATGCAGGGATGTCTACCAGAGCAGTAGTTGCAAGGTTCAATATCCATTATTGGACCATAGCCCATTTGAGAGTTTGTTCACAACAGACTGGCACTACTGCAAATCGACCTCATCCTCGTCGGCCACGTGTGACCACTCCAGCACAAGATCACCACATTTGGCTCRTCCATCTGCGGGATCGACTAAGACCAGTGACACACACAGCTGATRAGACTATTGGTCTGTACAACAGATGCATCACACCTCAGACTGCCTGAAACCGCCTACGAGAAYCCAATTTGCAAGCTCGGCGCCMTCAMCGTGGTCTGGATCTCACTGCTGTCMGGYGTATGAACCGACTCACATGGGCAAATGCACATGTCCGATGGCMCTTGGCATSCTGAACAGKGATGTTCACGGATGAATCCAGGTTCCAGTTGTATCGTGTATTTGACATGGGGCGTTTATATTTTTGTTAAGTGTATTTTCTTGTCTTTTCTGTGTTCCTAGACTAATCTATTGTCTGCATCTGTGGAGCTGAGGAACCATCACAGCTGAGCTGTTCTAAATTAATCTGAGTTGACAAAGTTTTTTTCTCAGTGAAAATGTAAAATGCTTCTTAGACAATTCACACATTTTATTCTCCTCAGCTGTGTGTGCGCTCCGCATGTGTTTCCAACTACGTGACAACAATATAAACACTTTACAGTTCACGCAACGTTGGTTTTGATACATCCCAACGTGGGCGTAGAACCTGGTGCACGCAACTTCTTTATGCATGAAGGCCCTGATTACCACCTTAGGTTTCATWAAAATATGCTGTGATTCATGGAATWTATGCTGCTGGCATAGGAAGAAACATTACTTCTCTGTTTTCTCCTTTTGGCAAAGGACAAAAAGTTGAACATGAAAATGGCTGTTTGTCTTTTTAATTCACTCACCTGTAACTCTACAGAGAGCTGATTTAAAGTTTCTTCAACAGGCAGAACATCTGTTAAACAAAAGTTTAAAGTAAACTTTTTTATACAGTTAAATATTTTAAAAAGTATAAAAGCTACAAAAATATTCCCAGTTGAGTTAAACATTTGGATTTATGATTGATTATCAAAGTACGTGGATGTAGTCTGACTGCAAGAAATAAACAAAATAATTTACAAAACAAGAAAACAACATTGTGTTAATGCTGACATAGAGTTAGAGCAATATAAATGTCCCAAAATAAGGTCCCAGTTTTAAGCAATGATTCTATACAGACCTGGTTCTTGTGGATCCAGTTGGAGCTGTGGAATTTGCTTCTTCAGCGTGCTACAGTAGGTGTGCAGACCTTTCTGTGCCACCAGCAGGAGGCGACAAAGGCGCCGGTGCCACATATGAGCTCTCTGCAGGCAGTTTTCACTGGGCACATAAAAACTACCCTGCAGGTATAAAAAATAACAAAGCAGGAAACATTAGCTGCTGCACAATCAGGGGTCAACTGTACAAATACAGAACAGCCTGTGTTAATGTTGGGTGTGTCTAGAAAGATGAACATTACAGCCTCCTCTGCAGTGGCTGAGTGAACCTGTTGCACTTGTTGAAAGATGAGCTGTTTTCTTCATTAAAATAAATTATTTGCAAGAGAAACTTCCATTGCCTTGGATGAATGAGAATGTGAAAACTTATGAAGAGTCACTTAGACACTGACATGATTGTCTTTAAGATTAAAAAATGGTGTTGCCAGGAATGCAAAAGCTGAATTGATTTGATTTGATTTATTGATTCAACGGGAAAAGATTATTAAAAATCAAGCCTGACTCAGCATAAT